CAAAAATCCTGATTGGTCGATGGGGTCATGACGTCACAGTCGCATGAAATCGCGCGGGAATTTCAAAGAACCCACAACCCATCACGCTTGGAACGAAAGTTATTAAAACATGACATGTAATGCAAATTAAAGATCGCTGCATGTCTCAAAAAATTTCACCTTATAAAGTAAGCCATTTGTCTTAAAAGCGAAAATTTGAAGTTTTCTTTAAAGGCAAATTCTTTAAGCTTCATCGAAATTTGAAATATACCCGTCGTGTCAGAAATAGGTTGAATATGATCCACAATATCCGTAAATGACAATCGCACGTTTCTATTTTGAGCCTGTATGATGGCTGTATTTATCGTTGTAAACGGCCCACTCTGGCAAGCGCTCGGAGAGCAGCCCGCGGAGATCACGTCACATCCGGCGCAATCGTGACGTAGTCTCTCTCGGGATGAGCGAAGCTGCGGCGAGGCAGACGTCGTCAGGATGCCCTAACCGTTTCAGCCACCGAAGCGGTCGAAGCACGTGAGCGATCGGGCCACCGCAATTAACCGCAAATCTGCTTTCGTGTGAATTTTGAGTGACGGGTTAATCTTCTTTAATCTTGTAGATGGAGATAGCGACGTCTGGGACACATAAAAAAGAGTCCTGTTGAGTTGAGAGTTCCTCCCTCCCCTCTTCTCTTGTGCTGGCCGTAGAGCTGTCGGGATGACGTCAGGTTGGTTATCGTCACTACCTGTCAAGGTTCCTAGACGGGCATTACAAACGAGACGTTAGCGACATCCACCAGGTGCTCTTTGCTAATCATTTAATTCGTTTTAAGATTCCTTTTCCTGTCTTTTTTTAAGAGATATTGGTGTGTCCGATGTGATACTGCTTTTTGGAACACGTAAAGACGAAAAAATAAGCGCCGAAGTTTCGCTGTAGTAATCGTTTAAAGCTCGCAACGGAAGGCCATGACCCTTCCGTTGCGAGACACACGCTACCGACTAGGCCAAGCCAGGGGGGTAAAGGTGGGTGAGGAGGAGTGGCAAATCCCGTGCGCCGACACCCGGGGTCCCGAGTGAAAGATCGGAAAAGAGAGCGACAGAACACGAGAGAAAGAAAGCAACGTTGCCAGCTGAAGGACGGCAGTCGCAATGTAAACGCGAAGAGTGAAAACTCTCAGCAATATAAACAGTGATAATTTAACGTTGTAAACTAAATTCTGAGCTATTCTAACGCTTATAAAAAGCAATAAAGTCATTACGCTTCATTAACTTCCCTTCTGTCGAAATCTCGGAAATCTGGTGGTTGCGCAGCCGGTAAAGCGCAGGTGGGCGCCCCACCGGCGAAGCCGGGTATATGGTTTAGTTTAGCGTTAACGCGAGGCCGTACATCTGCGCGCTATGCAAAAAGAAAGCTTCGAAAGGAACGCGAATATCTTTCCACCGGTAAGTTCGTGGATTGTTGAAGTTCACGAAACTGCTCTGATGATGTAACCGTGTTTGGGACCCCGAGGGTCTGCCTGCATGCTCCGCCGCTTGCGGCAGCCAGAATGTATGGGAAAATGGCGGACCTTTTCCTCTAGAGTTACTATGTATGATCTCTATGGGCCGAGCAGACACGCTTGCACGGCTTGGGAACAGCTTAAGCGTCTTCCTGTGATTTTTTATGACCTACGCATGAGCTATAACGTAAGTCCCATCCAACAATATAATTAAAATAATAATCTAAAACGTTGTTAATTGCCCTATTAAGTGAAATTAACTAAAAATACCAAACGTTTTTATTTTTAGAGCGCAGCTTTTAGGCGCCCGTTCCCGGCTTGAGCGGCACGCCGTCGCCGTGACCGCGCGGTGTATTATGGGACGCGTGGTGTCACTGGTGACGTCATCACTGACGTCGCTAATGACGTTATCGGCATCGGCATCGTCACTGATGACATCATCGGCGTCCGCATCGTAATCGTCATCGTCACTGATGACGTCATGAGTGTCGTCACTGATGACGCCATCGGCATCGTCACTGGTGACGTCATCAGCGATGTCATTAATGACGGTGACGTCATCGTGATGACGTCATTGTCACATGACCCCCGTGAGGTCACGTGACCCTCGTGAGGCGACGGCGACGCCGCTCGGAGGGAGGAATTGCAGACAGGATGAGGAGGTGAGGAGGACCGAGGAGGGGTATACCTTCCCCTCAGTACCCTCCCCTCGGTTGACACTGCTACTAACGACCAATACAAAACCAAAATGACAAGGTGCGTGATCCTCATGACCAATGTTTCTCATTATTAGAAGAACACGAAGATAATATCAACTTTTTATTTGCAATGAGTGTGGTTTAGCGTATTAAAAAGGATGAGAGGGCTCTTTTTCCAAGATCTTCAGACAAACGTTTTCTTGTCAAAGACGTGCTTTCAGAGCGCCAAAAACCAAGGGAATCAAAATTCTTGCTTTCCTTTCATCTTCGTCAGCCGTGAAGTGATTTTTGCAACAATCACTCGACAGTGACGACGAACTGCAGCGATCGTTAAAGAAAATTTTCAGACAACGCAAAGTGCCAGCCGGCAGGTGCCTGTCCCGTAACTATACGTGCACCCAAGTCCCTTCGGACGGCTGCAGTCTCGTGCCCGCGCATTCGACGGAATAGACCCTTTTCAGAAGCCCGCGCCAACGCCTGTCCACTAAAGCCCCTAGATAAGACCTTCCTACAAGTATAGGACATTCTTTGAAACGCCGACTGCATGCTGGACGGTGCAGGTTTTGAAAAACGAACGGCGGCGCACTGCAGAGGTTGAACTGAATGCCGCCATTTTGTTCCAGCGGAATGTGCTTTGTCATTTGTATTGGTTGTCGTTACTTTCAAAAGAAGTATCAAGGGACTTTATTGTCCACCATTGCTTGATCACATACTCGAAGTATGTCTTGGACACGCGGGTTGCGTCCCCATTTGGCGTGAACTCAGCTCAGCTCGTATTGGAAACGAGTGTGACGTCAACGTTCGGCAAGAACTCGGGTCCAATCACTTGCTTCGTGCCCAAGCAATGGCGATCGCCAATGTCGCTCCAGGGACTCTTATAAATGGTCTATGACGACAAGATATCCCTTTTTGTATTCCTGTTTTAACACTGTTGCCTGGCTTATTTTAATTTTACTTTCAACAGTCAAGCGTTGTAGCCAACGATACTGAACAAATATCTTCTCCTTGCCGTTGTAATATAAAGTCCTTTAAAAGAAATACTATAATTTTCTAAACTTAAAGTAGTATGCTAAAGGCCCGTTCACACTCTTGCGACCGAGTTAGCCCGAGAGAGACCAGACCGGTTTTTAAGCCTCTTGCGACTTCTTAGGACCAGCTCCGCTGTATCGCATCCGGTCCTAAGAAGTCGCAAAAGGCTTAAAAACCGGTCTGGTCTTTCTCGGTCGAAGTCAATCGCAAGAGTGTGAACGGGCCTTAAGCTTGCAAGCTCGCAGTTATCAATGTGACTCAAACTATACAAGGGCCGTCAAACTCAAACTTTAACACCTTTCAAGGTTATGAGGTCGGTGTCCCACACGTGCAAGCACGTGCAGTATGCACGCTAAAGAATAACTCCGGTCAAAATTCGAACCAAAATAAATTACTGATATCGATTTCCGGAGAGTAAACACGAGCACTTCCAAAATATTGCACTAATGAGAAAACGCGATCCACTAAAACCGATATTAAAAATGCTACCATTAGGTTCTCAGCGGGCAATCAACGAGTCTCTTTTGTAGCGTGAGCTACACTGGCCGAGGTTGAGCAGTTTCGCGTGACTCCTGGAGAGCCGTGCTGCGCATGCGCGAGGAGCAGTGACGTTACACGGCGCACAGCTGGCGCGCCAAAGCCGCCGCCGCCGCGCGCGCCTCGCCGGTCTGGCCATTCCAGAGGAGTGACGTCATAGCCGCGGCACACGCACTGGCGACGGCGCGTGCCCAGCTGCGCGCCTCGGTTGCGCAGTAGCCAACTCTGACGCTGCACCGGAGCCGCTTGATAGCGCCTCTCATTTTCTTTTTTAAAGCAACCTGGTGCCTCGATATCATTTTCGTCTTGAAGTTGTCTACTTGTTCGTATCGCCACTTCTTTCGCCCTGCATCTTTTTTTGCTGCGTTTTTAGTTATTTTTAAGACGGTTTCTTTTTGTTATGTCATGTTTTAGCGTCCGTAGTTTGTAAGTGCTTCTCGGTGATCGCGCACGAAGATTATTGACCCCCTGCTCGCTCAAGCGCGTCGTGGTGCCGAAGGTGCATTGCACCATAGTTTAGTCCGTTCCTGCTCAGCTTACGATTAACTTACACACCGCTTTTACAACGTGCATTGCACGCCACCAAGATTGCGGTTCTTCTCAGAAGATAAGTGGAGGCTCGTTCTGAGCCTGCGTTCATCGTGTCGAACTTGTTTGTTTGTCCAGAAACATCATGAATGTCTATTATTATTTGGTTCAGATATTACTACGAAACTAATCAGTAAAACAGCCGTAGCACCTTACCTGACTGATTGTAACTGCTCTTGCGACCTGGCCGGTCGTGCGTTGTGTGGTACCGCGATACGCACTTTGCGTCACAACACGAAGGCCATGCAGCTGATCACAAGGTTTGCCGTCATGCTCGAGCCGGTGGTTTCGGTTTCGCCCAAGACCCCCGAAGCAGAAGTATGAGATAGGATATCTACAAAACTACGCAAGACATCGAAAAAAAAAACCTCGTAATCAGGGACACTTTCTTCAATAGAAACAGTTCAAAACCCTAAAATTGAGAAAATGTATCAGAGTAACTTTGGCACGTTTGCACGTGGTATACGTGTTAGGCTGGCCCCCACGAGCAGAGAGGTGGTGGCTGTCAGACCCCCTGTTTTCATGGACACTTGCTTCTTTCTGATCGGGCGTCCATGAGAGAATGCATGAAGTTCAGAGAGTGATCTGACTCACGATATTAGAGCATTAACTCATCCCAGGTTGAAGTGAACTTAACGTCGAACATGTAATGGTGCGCCTCCCCTGATATTAAGGCATTCGGCATTGATGGTGAGCTTCGTCGTCCAAGCCGGGGCGCTGATATCCGTGAGCACGATAAGATCCTTTCTGGTCCTGGCCCTTGGCTCCTTCCTGGTGGGTCTGGGTCGCGGAGTGCGCTGCTTCCTGTTCCCGGTGCTGGTCTCGAACCACTGCCGTCTGGACGACATGCCAGCAGCCCTGTCCATCATGAACGCCGTCTGCAGCGTCGTCCTCTTCCTCAGGACGCCGCTCATCGGTGCGTCCACTCCGGAATTACGTCCAACAGCGTTCATGAGGAACAACAACAAGCGATAATATAGGCTGGCCACAATGAGTTTCTGCACTCCAAAACGAGCTGAAAAAATCGGCGTCTGCAGATATATAGCTCAAACTTTCATCAAACGTGCATTCAGGTGGTGGATATAACCTAGTGAAATTTCAATGAGTAGCTCTCTTGTAGCAAGACATTAGATGAAGAAACGTGGTACAGGTTTAACGGCGAACGTGTTCGTTGACGAATGAGTTATCGATACTGGGAACGTGCGGCGCCATCTTCCGATAGGCGCATCGAGCAAATAACGCACTCTGCTATCTGCGCACCTTGCACGAAATGCACATTCGATGAAATTTCGAGCTTTTTACGTGCAGGCGCCGAATTTTCCGGCTCGTTTTAGAGCGCCGAGATTCAGTATGTACACCATAGATATTCTACACAATGAATTAGGCGCAGGGATGTGAAAATCTCGGGCGCGAACACGAGAGTAGAAAGTATATTCTTTGCAGTTAAATGAAGATGCACAGCGCCCTTGCGTCTTAGTATCTTTGATGACATTGCACACAATTTGTGAGGAAGAATATAAGTACTACACGTTTCACGCTGCTGAGCTTCGCATGCCCCCTTAATAATGAAAAAATATTTCGAACGAGCAATTATACGGAATTTCGGCAGATTTTAAGAGTATGGCAGGGTTGCGTTTCAGGTAAAAATTAACAAGACCTGATATTCACATAGAAAGGAACGTCATTTATTAATATAATAAAGACACTAAAAGAAATGGATGAACTGCAAGTTTATTCATTTCTTTATGGGCGCAATCTCCTCCCCGGGCTCGCGTATTATTAGAAAAATTAAATACGTTTAGAGAAGTCTATAATAATCGATTCAGGAATTGCGGTGCCTTTTAAATGTTTTATTTGTTAAGAATATTTACAGCAGTCCTGAAAAAGGGAAACCTTTTTTACTGCATAGTCATACGTAAAGGCGTCGGCGGAATCGGTATTGGCGTGATCGGGACGGTCAATAAAACTTCCAAGCCACATTGTCTAAATGTGATCCCATTTTTAAAATTTAATTGTAAATTTCAAGTCACTCACACCAATGCAAGAGCCGTAACGAAAGTACCACTTGTGCGTTTGTTCTTTCGTTACCTAACTATATTTTTTTTAATCCGCATTTTAGCTGCTTATATTTTCAACATTTTTTTTATTCATTGAGGCACAGTGCGAAGGAGAGATCAGAAAAAATAAATAAACCTCCGACGCTTAAAGAACTCATTTAAAGGTAGAGATAGCTCCAGAGACAGCTAAAAGTACTGAATCACGAATAGACCGATATCGCCAGCCACTTTGGCTACGACGCCGCTGCCGCGATGCATCGAGAAAACTTTAGTTCTTCTGCATGCGCGATAACTTTTACGTAGCCCTGCTGAAGAGCTGAGCGTGCAGGGTACGAGAGAGTAGGAGCTGTCTAGTGCGCGGCCGCCTGCCTCCTGCGGACTGAAGTTAAGGCGACGTCACGCATGCGCCAAACGCTTGGTGAGATTGGTTTATTCCAAATGCAGCTTTGATGTACTCAGTATTGACCCCATAAGTATGACGTGACTGCTGCAAACAAACCGTTGCTAGGGGCGTGCCTAAGGACGAATACATGGGATTGGGCTTCGGTCCGAAAGAACCATTGTTCAAAAGTCGGACGTAGATTTTAAATGTCTAGAAAAATAGATGTAACAGACCTAGATTTCACGCTTACCAGGACAGAGGTTTGTCGAGAATCGGCGGCTTCTGAAATATTTGTGACGGCTACTTCTGGTCCTGGAGACGCCTCGAAATGCCTGCTGCAGACAAGGGACGCATAAGGAATGACCTGTGTGCCGTCTGCAACAGTCTGAATTGTTTGCATACTGTGGTACGATTTTGATCTTGTATTATTTTGTGGCATGGCAGGTACGGAATACTTTCTGTCGAAAATCATCACACGTGTGGAAATCCGCTAAAAATACAGCGAGAGAATTGTTTAGAACATGATATCAAAGCAGCGTAAGGCCCTCTTTTATATTCTGCAGTTGACGTGCATTGTAATGAAGGGGCCATTTTTCTCTAACATATCGCGTTGAAACCTCAATCTTTGTTTTTTTAGGCTCGCAATATGGGCGTGTGTTTTGTAGCTGTTTGTAACCATCACACAGAAGAAAAATGCTTCAGATTTTTTTAATTTTCTGTAAGATCCCAAATAGCGAAAGAGCTGGATAAAAATATCAGGTAAGTAATATATGGGTGATTGCATCTTAAATCGTGTAAAAAAAATAATAATGGATCCTAAAAAAACAAAAAAAAAACATTCTAGTAAAAATTAATGTGGGTGGAAAATATGTGACTAGAACTTCACTGAAAATTAGAACTACGGAATATTTTTGTTTTTGATTTTTGGGTTTCGAAAGGGCTTAATTACCCTGCGCAAAGTCGCAAAGTCTTGCGATTTTTGCAGTTTTCACTAGTGAGACATTTTGGAGTCTCGCGACGTTTAGATTATCTTTTTCGCAACAATAATTACTTGTTTACTGCTTAATAGTTCATATAAAGTGTTAATGTTCACTAAAATGTAATTTTTATTAAAAAAAATTTAATCTTGTTTCTTTGACAGTAAGCGCCAAGTCTGAATAGAGCCAGCTTTTGATGTGCACTTAGTTAAGGTATAAGAAAAATTTCAAATGAACGCATGTATATAAGCCTATATAAAAATTATAGTATTTTAATCGAAGTATAATTTATATAAAAGAAGAAAAAAAACACTGTAAACATGAGAAGAAAAGCTGAAAGTATAAAATTCAATGTTATTTTATGAAAATACGTATTTTTTATTTCGTTCCCAATTTTTTATGTGAAAAGCTTTTTATGGGATCTTATAAATACAATAACATTTATTTGACATTCTTCATTTCGTCATATTAAGCAGTACGCTTGAAAAGAAGACATATTTGTACCTCCATTCTACGATGCATATATCTCTGTCATTTCGTCTTTCACCTAAATACTAGTTATTTTTGTTACATTATCAAAGTTTTTATTGGTTCTCGAGTCCACTCAACAGTTTGGCAAAACTTAGGCATCGATAGTATTTAGAGCATAATATGGTAAGGCGTTCTTTCGCACATTCAGTTTGCTTACTTAGTAAGCTACAGAAATCGAAACTGTCTTAAATGATGTTTATGCGTTGTCATATGAGATTAATAAACATATTTAGGACGTTTTAAAAGTTTCTTGTGAATTAATGGAGCACTTACGGGAGAAAAAACGTTTCAAAGCGACGATCCCCGGAGCACGTCAATAAGCCTGCATGATTTTTTTTTTCTTCAAACAACTTCCTTTGCACGATAGCTCAGCTACGCTTCTTGAAACCTCCCAATATCTGTTTTTACTATTGGCAGTTTTATGTTTGCGATATCAAACGAACGTCCCCAATCTCGTAGAATGATATGAGTTGAAACTATCAGTTGTGATAGCCTCGCGCCGCTTCGGCGCTTGCTTCACTTTTCTGCAATGTGCGCCACTCCTAAAATTTCGCCATCTTTATTTATTTATTTTTTTTGTTTAGAGTAGCTTCAAGGTTCTCGTAAGCTGCATTGGCTATTTTTTTCGACGGAAAGTGAGAACGAAAGGGAAATACAAGGGCCGAGGTTTAACACTATGGGTGTCGCACCTTTTTAAATAGCTGTCGTGAATGTTTATTTACTACAGGCAGGGGCACTATAAACATTAGAAACGATTACCATATTGCCGCGCGCGCAGCTGGCCTAGTAGGCCCCGCGCCCGGGGCCTAATAATATAAGAAACATAAAAACGTGCCCGTGGCTTAACGGTTACGAAAAGCTGAAGTTCGATGCCTGGCTGCCGATACAAATTTTAGTTGTTTCTGTAATATCGCGTTCTTGTAAATTCGAAAACCCTGTTGCTTATTCGAGATTACAATGTTCTACGCGCCGAACCTTCTACGCCGATTGTTCCAGAAGCCCACGCGTCTAAAGAAGGGGCCCCGCGTGGCAAGCCGCGGGGTGAGTCTTGCCCCAACGCTCGATCCTGCTGTTTCGCCGACATCGATGCCTGCGACGCTAGCCTTCTTCTATTTCGTTTTGGGCACAAGTTCGCCCCATTAAACGTTTAGTTTATCCAGTTAATTGCCTCCTCAACACTTGTCATTTGTGACAATATGGCTATCCGCGCAAGTGGCAGAAAGAAGAAGCTACAGACAACCTGTGATGACCAGGAGGCGCTACCAGAGCTAAAGCTTATGTGCCACCGCCTTCTAGAGCGGCAGCCTTTCCCTTTCGTTTTGCTTCGCTGGCAGGTTCTATGCTATTCACATATCTGGTATGACATGTCAGTTTGTTAGACACAGTTAACCAAAACCGAGAGAGAAAGCAACCACTCTTTGCCTGGCAGTAATATTAAACGTGGGCGACCAAGAATTCAGTCTTGAAGACATTAAGGCACTTTGCCTGTGTGCTAACCCAGCTAAGGAGTATGATTTGCTGACCTGTAAGGTGTATCCAAAAAGAGATGGTTTAACTCTGGAAGCGTTGCCAATGAAGGAAGACTAATAAATTGAAGTAGCTTTGTGGGAATCTAGCGAACTGCTAAAGAATCAAATAGAAAGTAACGCATTTTGGAATGAGCTCAGAAGTTACGTGACAAAGTACTTCTATTAATTCATCCGACATGCTCAGCGCTTTCTATAAGCTCGGAAAAGTCGCATCTCAAGGCTCGTATTGTACTTCATTTCGATTTTGCGGAAAACTGGAGCGTGGTTCTTCCGCGAGCGGTACCATGCTTTCGTTTGAAGAACCAAGCCGTGTCTGTCTTCACTTGCGTCGCTACAACGGAGCTCAAAATCTACAGCTTCGGAGTTGTCAGCGACGACATCATGCAAAATACAGCACACGCACCGTTCGCCCTGCGCACAGTTGAAGAGTGGCTGGAAGA